TACATTCATGGTGTCGCACAACCGCCACCTTTATCCAGGTCCAAGTGATTTTCTTCACCCAAACGGGAACCTCGTACTTACTGCGCACTTGCCCCTCATTCCCTCCTCCGTTCGGCCCCGGCAGCCACCAGTCCGAATCCAGTCTCTGTGGATTTACGTATTCTGGATATTTCATATAAATGGAACCTTACAACATGTTACCTTTTGTGTCTGCTGCGTGTAATGTTTTCAAGGTTCATCCGTGCTGTAGCATACATCAGTACTTCATTTCTGTTTATGGCTGAATCATATTCCATTGTGTGTATGTGCCCGTTAGTTTATCTACTCATCCATTGATGGGCATATACATTTTTCAGGGATGTGTTATATTCCACTGAATTATATATGCAAATGTCCAATTAATTTTATCTTTAGGGCAATACTGTAACTTATTTCTAGTTTAATCCATAGAGGATAATGTGGCAAACAACTGTATACTATTAACAAATCTTCATACTTTGTCAGTTTTCTTACTTCAAGTTTTTAAATAAAAAGCAATTTATAGATAGAATCAAGGTACCTTTTATCCTCCTTCCCTTTGCATCTTCATAGGCAGGTACTATCATAGATTTGGTATATATCATTCCAGTTTATTTTTTAATAACTTTCTACATATTTTGTGTGTTTCAAAATGCATATAAAATATCATATGGTACATATAACTCAGCATTTAAAAAATCTACCCATATTTTTTAATATATAAAACCAAACCAAAAACCCATGGCCATCAAGGCAGTTCTGACTCATAATAGGACTGCTTCATAGGGTTTCCAAGGAACAACTAGTGGATTCGAACTGCTGGCCTTTTGGTTAGCAGCCATAGCACACTGGAGCTCTTAATCACTGCACCACCGGGGCTCCAATATATATATACAGATCTAGTAAATTTTATCTGCTGTGTAATATTACCGTATATATACAGGTAGTCCCCGACTTACGACGGGGTTCCGTTCTGATAACTCCATCATAAGTTGATTCTGATGTAAATCGAATACCTCTTTTTTTAAAAAATTTTCATCATAACTGCCTTTAATTATTAGTATCTTTATAAATCCAGTCGTTGAACATCTGCAAGTGAACGTCTGAAAATGATAACATCAGCAAATTATGTGCTGCAACATAGTATGTAGTACATATTACTAACGATAAGATGTACAAAAAAAAAAAAACAGCAGATAGTCGTTAAGTGTGGCTTATTGTAACTCAAATACGTCGTAAGTCAGGGACTATCTGTATATCCTAATTTATTTGTTCCCCTGTTTATGTACATTGTGGATTTCTCAAAATCTTCACTATTACAAGCATGTTCAGGGTGAACGTCCTTATACACCTCCTGGTACAAAATTGAAAGTGTTCCTACAGGTGTGGCCCACTTTTTTGTAGAGGGCGAGGTAATAAATATTTTCAGCTTTGTGGGCCATGTAATTTCTGTTGCTGCTACTCAAGTCTGCTGCTGTAGCTTGGAAGCAGCCATGCACAGCACCTAGTAAGTAGGTGTTTCTGTGGTCTCATAAAATTTCATTTACAAAAACAGGGCAGTGGCAGGACTTGACTCTGGGGCTGTAGTTTGCTGACCCCTGCTTTCGGGCAGTGGACCTCAAACTTTAGTC